TATAAATTCCAGCTTTCAGAATAAAACCAGCCCGATTCCAGATTAAGACTGAGAGATTCTAAGCAAAGCCTCAAATCTATAATTCAATGTCCGACCTGAGATGTCACTTTTTATATACTCCTATGGCTCTGCCTGATTGTCTTCGTCAGTGTTGTGCTGTCATGACAGCGTGTTAAGTGTTTATAAAGTCAAACACTCTTGATTACCTGCAGAGACCTATCATCTGACACTCCACTCGCACCAGTTGTATGATTTTTTGATCTCTCTGCCTAAAAACTGTGTCTGTATGCCTTGCTCTCTCACTGCACCTGACAAAGGGGCTGCGCTCCAAAAGCTTGTGTGATTCCAAATAAACCTGTTGGACTATAAACTGGTGTTGAGTAACTTCTGACAATTCTGCATTAAAGCAGAGAAAGATTGATTCTCATTTCCAGATAATTTCTCCTATTTTGTTCTGGAATGAAATGGACTCTGGCTCCAGATTGGCAATGCAATTTCAGCACTGAGCACCATTACAAAACTGTAATGAAAATACAACTTGAATGGCCAGATACTATCATGCATATTTAAATGCACTTTTCCCAAAATTGAGAAATTTTCTGAGAAATTTAAATCAATTTGTCAATTCCTTTTGAGCAAAATTGCCTCTTACTTCAGAAAACTTTCGATCTGTAACAGGATTCGATCCATCTCTACATCCTTTTTCTCATACAGCTCCTTTCCAACCCAGGGCAGAGAAGAGAGTACTGCATACACATACCAGTCACAGCGTACCTACAATACAGTGAAAATTAATGTGTCAAATATTTTAAAGGATTTTCAGTGCAAAATCATAATGTATACTAACTACTATACCTTAGAATGGAGATTTATAAGATTGTCAAATTAGAGATACAGCTGCAAAACTGAAGGCAAAATTAAGGAGTAATGTGACTTGCTCTGTAGTCTGCCTGACAACAAACCTGACTGCTTTGCTTCCTAGAAATGTCTCAGATTGTTTTATTTGCAGAAAATGGAAGGTGCTTTCATTTCAAGACAATTGCACCAGACAGCATGCTGATAACGGATAGCCTGTGGGTTTCCAAAGTCTGAGAGAGTATTGAGAATGTTGTAAACAATATTTTCTGAAAGTGTTTGATAAAGTATCACATATTAGGCTACTTAATACGATATGAACCCATGATTTTGGAGACAGTACATTAGCATGGATAGAGGATGAGCCAACTGTTGGGATAACGGGACCAATCTCAGGATGCCAAACTGTAACTAGCAGAGTGATGCAGGGATCAGTGCTGCAGCCACAATTATTTTCAATATGTTAACAACTTGGATAAGGAACATGAATTTACTGTAGCCAAATTTGCAGATGACACAAAAATAGGTAGAAAGGCAGGTGGTGAGGATGACACAAAGAGGCTATAGAGGTTAAGCAAGTGGGCAAAAACTTGGCAGATAGAACATAATGTGGGAACAAGAGAAGTTGTGCACTATGGCAGGAAGAATAGAGGAGCTGAATACTATTTAACTGGAGAAAGACTATGGAAAGCTAAAGAACACAGGGATTTGGGAGTCCACATCCATGAATCACAAAAAGCTAGCATCCAAGTTCAGCAGGTAACAGGGACAGCAAACAGAACTTTGGTCTTTATTTCAAAGAGAATGGAGTATAATCATCTAATAAAAAGTAGGGAGGCTTTGCTAAAACAATTCAAGGCACCAGTCAAGCCACAGTTGGAATACTGTTTTGGGCCCGTTGTCAAAGAAAAGATATATTGGCATTGAAAGCAGTCCAGAGAAGGTTCACTAGCCTGATAGCAGGCATGGATGGACTGCATTAGGACGAAGACAGGTTAAGTATTTTGGGACAGTACTCATTGGAACTTGGAAGAATCACAGGCTACCTTATTGAAACATACAAGTTTCTTCAGGGCAAAATCAGAAATTGCTGGAAAAACTCAGGTCTGGCAGCATCTGTGGAGAGAAACCAGAGTTAATATTTCAGCTCAAGTGACCCTTCTTCAGACCCTTCCGTTCTGAAGAAGAAATGCTGCCAATCCCACTGAATTTTTCCAGCAATTTCTGATTTTGTTTCTGATTTCCAGCATCTGTGGTTCTTTGGTTTTTTTTTTGTTTAAGTTTCTTAGGGGACACAGTAGGTTCAGAGAGGTTGTTTCCGCTTGTTGGGACAGTGTAAGGGAAGAGGGCAGAATCTCAGGATAAGGGTCATACTTTTAAGAAAGAGATCAGGAGGAACTTTTTCCCCTCAGAGGATAGTGAATCTGTGGAATTCTGTACCATAGAGGCCTGCTAGGATTGGATCATAAAAAGTGTTTTCAAAGTTGAGATAGATATTTAATCAGTAAAGATCATAGGGTTTGGCGGGAAAGCAGATTTGAGGATTACCAGATCAGTCATGCTTTCATTGAATGGCAGATCTGACTCGATGGCTGAATAACCTACTTCTGCTCTTCTGTGAAAGAGCAAGGGCAAGAGAGAGAGTGCATGTATGAGAGAGGCAGAGTGACAGAAAGAGTGTGCTTGTGACAGAATGAGCGCACATGCGGGAGTACGAGAGCATGTGAGAGAGCAAGAAAGAGGGAACAAGAGGTCTCTGTGGATGACCAGGTTGTCCTCAAATAGCTTGATTAGAGAAGGGTGGGTTCTGGACCATAAGACTTCAATATCAATGCTAGGATCCATAGCCTTTACTGTCACGCAGAGTAACTTCAGAAATAGATCATAGAATTCCTATGGCATGGAAGGTGGCCATTTGGCTCATTGTGTCTATACCAGCCCTCCAAAGAGCATCCCATCCAGACCCAGCACTCCTACCCTATTCCTGTAACCTCACATTTAGCATGGCTAATCCACCTAGCCTGCACATCTTTGTACTGTGGGAGGAAACCAGTGCACCCGGAGGAAACCCATGCAGACACGGGGAGAACATGCAAACACAGACAGCTGCTTAAAGCTGGAATTGAACCCAGGTCCCTAGTGAGGTGTGTCCCAGCATGTGAGGCAACAATGTTACCACTGTACCGCATTGCTGCCTGTTATTCTTATGACTGGATGTAGTCACAGTAGAAGAGAAAATGAAGCAACTCTCAGAAAAACATCTGATGTCTTACCTGCGGTACATCTTCCTCCTGCGTTACGCTGACAAAGTTTTCAAACATTGCCACCATTGAAGGAGCTGCAATCACATGGCAGTTCACAAGATCAGACAGGAAGCGTACCTGTGAAATAAACACAGCTTAATTGCAATATACAGAATATTGCCATGCTGTACTTAAGACTCCATTTTACAGAAGTGGCTCATTACCTTTTACCTCCACTAATTATAGGGGCAATTGTACAGCTTTCCAAATGGAAAGCAATTCTCAGTTTCAACACTGTCAATGCTGATCTGTCTCCAGGTCCAGTCATATTTCTATGTCTGTTAACAACACAGCTTCAACCCTAAGCAGCAAATAACACGATATCCTTCTTTGGTTAATTGATTACTGTTCAAATTGCAAAATAGTTAATGTTAACTCAGCTTCATTTTGGATTATACACAAATCAACAAATTCTACATTCGCAGTCTTAATGTGGCAAAATATCTCAAGGTCTTCCACAGAGGAGAAACAAGAGGTAACAAAATATTTAAGAGATGGCCAAAACACGGTCAGTTGGATTTATAAAAATAATTTTCAGAAGGAAAAATAACAAGACACATGAATTTAGTAACAAAGTTTAATGTCAGTCAAAAGCTGCATCATCAATTGGGAGAAGGAAAATCAGCAGGTGTATGGGAGGAAAGAGGTGGAAGATCAAAGCCCACTGGATTGGATAGGCTTAATGTGGTTTCCTGTATATGGGACATTTTAATTGTGAAGGTACCAATGTTAAATGGGGGTAATGAAAATGGATACCAAGCAGTAAAGGAGAATAGCAGCGATTTGCAAATGGGGATTCTGAACTTGAAGCATTCGAGTTAAGAAGCCAAAGGAACATTTTTTTCTGCTCTGGATAGCTAAGCAGAACAAGGCGACTTAGGATGTGTGTGGAGAAGTTAGGTTGATTTGGAGCTTGTAGGATAGAATACTATACTCTAGCCAATGAAGTCGTTAAGCCAACTAACAGCAATAAAAGTACAGGTAAAAATTGCAATGATGGTGCACATCAGGGTTACTATTTAGCTTAAATACAAACAAAAAGTTGCACATCATCTGTTTCAGACTGAGCAGGTAGCCACCAAATGGGAGAGGTCAGCGTAACAGTATGGAACATTTGGCAAGAACAAGGCAAATGGCTTTGTTCTACTTGACACTCAATTGAAGGATTTTCAGCTTATCTACAAATTGACACTAAATAAGCAGTTTGACAATGAGAACACATTTTGAGAGTCAAGGGCGGTCATGGTCAAGCAGGGTTAAAGCAAATCACTGAGAAAACACTAAGAAACTCCTTTGCGTACTATCATCTCCAGAACTAGAATGTCAGGGTACCACCATGAACTCAAAGCAAAATATTTTGATGGAACAGAGCACTGTGAGCCCTAACCACTTCATTTCCAAAACATTTAAATATAAAAGTGGCATTTATTTTAAGTAAAAATAAAGTTCAAGGTTTTAAAAGCTTTCTTAAGTTTACAGAAGTAAAGTAACATATTGCAAGAATGGCTAGTGGAGACCAAGAGACACAGAAATATTGATGTTTAAAAGAATATTCTTCCAAGAAAATAAATGTCTCTCCTCAATGATTCAAACCCAAGAGAGATCTGCCATACCTTGAGACTGAATGAGATTAGTTTCAGTTTAATTTAATGAGTTCTCATGAAATAGAAGGTGCTGGATGACTCTTCATGAAGACGATGATGTGATAAAGGCGGGATGCTATATATTATTTCAGGCATGCAACTAGTCATTGTACAAATACTATGCTGGCTGTATATTAGTGCAGATGTCATTCAATTTTGTTCATGCCGAACCACTTGCTTGAGCACTTAACATATACCAAAATCTTTCCAGGAAAGATCGTCACATGCTAATTATGAGATAATAGACTTTTGAAATGGAGATAGAGTGCATTCACAAGCAATATTGCATTTTTCACCACTCACTAAAAGTGCACTGCCGATAACATAAGATGCCTTAAGTGGTTAGCATTTTCTTAAATTATCAAAAATATAGGAATCCATCACACCCCCAACATTGACAATGTCCAATAATTGTTTTTTATTAAACACAAAATGCAAAGCCTCTAGTCAAAACCATTCCAAATGCTGCACATTAGTTTAAGCAACACAAACTTGTACAGTGGCAAACATGACAATGCTGTTAAGAAGGTTTCAAGTAGGTTGAGTAGTTGGAACCCTTTGAAGTAGAACAGAAATCAAGGATGGTTGGCAAACATCAAAACAAAAACCACAAGAGTGACACTTACAGCAAAAACTGCCTCGTTGTATAAATTAGTTTTCAAAGTTTCCTTGAGTTGTCTAACCATAGCTTCAACAAATTCTCCACCAAAGTTGTAGTTCCTTGCATTTAATAGCCCCACCAGTGTTGTGTACACAGTTAACTTTTCAGGAAGCTGTCGTGCTCTAGAGGGCAAAATAACACTGTCAGATACTCAAAATAATGATGTAAGCCAACAAAGATTAGACCCACTTGTTGCTGAGTTTTCAAAAAAAAAATCCACTAGACCACTCTAACATTCTTTCTAACTCTAACCATTTCCCCAAATGTTAGGTACTTAAGCTAGAAACATTCCTCACTTTATAACCAAATAAGTTACTATTCATGGTGGGAAATAGTTGTAATTCTTCCAATTCACTCTAGCACCATCTTATAATTAGTTTGTTGGACAAAAGACCAGATTATAATTATATTAGAATTATAATTCTTTATAATACAAAATCTTAATGAAATAAATTTAATGCATAACTCTTATGTTTCATTCAACTTACACTGCACAAAGTATTCTTAGGATTTTACTTTTATAGTTTGGCAGGTCAGCTTCTAAAACTCCGGCTAGACCTTCCAAGTTGCTCTCCAACGAAGATGTGCTCTGCAAATCAAAACAAGTAAATCAAATACAAAAACACTAGATCTGATGGTGTAAGTATGCTGTCAAATCATATCAACAGTTTTGGTGAAGTTCAAGGTTAGAACTGTCTATCAATGGAAAAGACAATATTAAAACTTTATAATTGATATGTAAGGTGGGAACACAGTACATTTTAGGACATATCAAAATGTAATTAAAGAACTTTTGTGCTTGTTCCCAACCTTGACAGAGGCCTCAACTTTCTTTCCATGGTAAAAATCAGTTTACTCTCATTGTTAAGTACTCACTAACCAGCTTTAAGTTAGGCAAGTAATAAACTGTACCTTTTCTCCTACACGACATATCAAAGATTCCAACCGATCTTCAATTTCAATTGGTTCAGATGTCCTTCTCCGTTTGTGAGGTTGCCCTAATGCAAATTAAGACAAATCTCATTATCTGACTAAAACAGTTTTCTGCTAATCTGCAATAAATAGATTTTTCAGGAAATTAAAGATTTTAAATGGAGCACTGACACCTCATGATATCTATTGTCTCAAATCAAAAACAATTTTTAGATGCTCATTCATGCAATTAAAATCAGGAAGTACAAGCAACTGATAGATGGCTAAAAACTTCAACAATTTCTTACAAGAATAGAATGTAGCATCCTTGGACATACTACTTTACAATTAGACTCCAATACGTATGCGAGGGTGGTTAAAGTTTCTTTCCAATCTTGTGACCACCTTGCCACAACGTTAAACAGAACAGATTGGTAGGAAAGAAAAAGATGCATTTATAAAACACCCTAAAACATGTACAATTTAAATTTCACCCTGGTCATGTTAGCTTTCTGCTTTCCAACAGGTAATTCTTCAAATTATTCTTCAGTAGTTTATTGAACTAGAACTTTTATTGTTCATTCATTTCAATGAATAAAGCAAAATGTCATCAACGTCAGAGGCAGGTTCTTTACTCAGAGAGTGGTAGGAGCGTCGAATGCATTGCCGGAGAGGGTAGTGGAGTCGGCCTCATTAGGGGCATTTAAGCGGCTATTAGATAGGCATATGGATGATAGTATAAGGTGGGAGTGGAAGTTAGATAGACCTTAGGTTTAGGGTAAAAGTTCGGCACAACATCGTGGGCTGAAGGGCCTGTACTGCTCTATGTTCTATGATATTGCAAAAGATACCAGGAACACAGTTGGGAATTTAGCCATGTGTTTCTAAAGTAACTCAGCATATAAATGCACCTTGGTTTGAGATACTGACTCCGACAGACCAGCAAAACTGAGGTTCATCACTTGGTTTGTTTCAAGTTGCCTGATTCCAAAATGCTGGAATTGACTTACATTTAACAGTAACAAACAGCATGTTTTTCCAAACATCTTGCAATCAATTTCATGCCTAGTTTTGCCTCCCACAAAACTACAGCCGTTTAAAAGCCACAAATAGCATGACTTAAAAGTACTTTCAAGTTGAGGTTATCAAACTGATTCCTGTCCTGCAACACAAGCTTTCGGCCTGATAACATAATTTGTCACTTTTAAAAAATGACTTTGTTGCTGACAATTCACAGCCTGAATGCTTCACAACTTCAAACACACTGCAAAGGAAGCACCAACAGGATCGCGCGTTTCTTTCTATTAACAGCAGTTTTCTCTTGCACTTTCTAAACATCCTATGTGAGAAATTATATACAAGTTACAGCAGAAATTGATGGGAGGGCTAGAGATGCTAAAGCTAATTGCACCATTTTGAATTGTCACCTTAAAAAAAAGAAACTCACTCACACAAAATCCAGGGCTTTAGTTTTACTGTATTGGCATATAGAGCAGAAATATGTTTTCACAACTGGTAGGCTGAGAGTCTCATTTAAACTGTTCATCAGAACAAACATTAAAGTATGGTTATAGAGACAAGAGGTCACTCATGGTTACAGTAATGTAGTGCATGGTCCATTGATTAGTTGTAATGTTTCTACTGATTGCAAAGAACTGACTACCTCGTCAGCTATTTTCAATTAAACAGCAAACAAGTAAACTAAAGCATTTATTTAAACTGAACATTGGTTACTAAACAAAACCTCAGCTGCAGTACAGCCAATTCACAACCTTAGGGAGTAATCTGCCATAGCCTAATTGAATGGTTGTTCTGTCTTAAGAAATTGAATAATTTGCTCCTGTTCCCAACTACATAAGATCACAACCACTGCCAAATATTAATGAATCTTAAAATAAACAGAATTAGACTGCACATTTGGGACCAGGGCAGCATAAGACATTCTGCCGCACCAACCCAAACATAGCCATACGACCAGACCTTGTTGTAAATATTGACACTCCATTCTTGGTCAACCTTTCAGTCTCTCCACAATGTCCCAGCTGTACTGCAACTCCACTTCATAGGAATTCTCACTATCTCACAACTGGCTATTTTTGAATTAGTTGTCTTAGATTAAATTTCAGTCTCAATCCAGCAATGTTTGGTCTTAGGCAATCCCTTGGAAAAAAGAATGATATTCTTACACTCTGCTTCAAAGGGTTCTGAGATGGTTGATAAATGCAAAACTCTGCCACTTGCTGGGCAGGTAGTGCTTTGAGGGGTCATGCAGATATGTCATAGAATCCCTACAGTGTGGAACAGACCCTTTGGCCCAACAAGTTAACATCAACCCTCAGAGCATCCCACCCAGACCCATCCCCCTATAACCCACCTAAGCTACACATCGCTGAGCACTATGGGCAATTTAGCATGGCCAATCCATAAACGTGCACTTCTTTGGACCGTGGGAGGAATCCGGAGCACTCGGAGGAAACCCACGCAGACAGGAGGGAGAACGTGCAAACTCCAAACAGACAGTTGCCTGAGGGTGGAATCGACCCTGGGTTCCTGGCGCTGTGAGGCAGCAGTGTTAATCACTGAGCCACTGTGCCCCCCAAAACAGGGCTCATGATAATCATACCCCTAGACTAACAAGCCAATGCAATTATTATTCATTTGTGGAATGTGGGCATCGCTGGCTGGCCAGCATTTATTGCCTGCTCCTAGTTGCCCTTGAGAAGATAGTGGTGAGCTGCCTTCTCAAACCGGTCTAGTCCATGTGCCGCAGATTGACCCACAATGCCGTTAGGGAGAGAAATCTATGAGGACATAAGGAGAATAAGAAGAAACTTACAATAAGCAAAAGCAACAGAGAGTAGAGTAGAGAGATAGTAGGAACTGCAGATGCTGGAAAATCTGAGACAACAAGGTGCAGAGCTGGATGAACACAGCAGGCCAAGCAGCATCATAGGAGCAGTAAGGCTGACGTTTCAGGCCTAGACCCTTCATCAGAAATGGGGGAGGGGAAGGGGGTTCTGAAATAAATAGGGGGAGGCAGATAGAAGATGGATAGAGGATAAGATAGGTGGAGACAAAACAGACAGGTCAAAGAGGCGGGGATGGAGCCAGTAAAGGTGAGTGTAGGTGGGGAGGTAGGGAGGAGATAGGTCAGTCCAGGGAGGACGGACAGGTCAAGGGGGCAGGATGAGGTTAGTAGGTAGGAAGTGGGGGTGCGGCTTGAGGTGGGAGGAGGGGATAGTGGGAGGAAGAACAGGTTAGGGAGGCAGGGACGAGCTGGGCTGGTTTTGGGATGCGGTAGGGGAGGGGAGATTTTGAAGCTTGTGAAATCCACATTGATACCATTGGGCTGCAGGGTTCCCAAGCGGAATATGAGTTGCTGTTCCTGCAACCTTCGGGTGGCATCGTTGTGGCACTGCAGGAGGCCCAGGACGGACATGTCTCTCCACTCTTCCAATGTGCTTGGTGCCTTGTCGAATTAGCCTTTGCTATTCTGGTTGGTCACAAGCCAGGGATGTTTTGCCTCTTCAGGGGTGCTTTGAAGACATCCGTAAAGCGTTTCTGCCAGTTTCCTGGGAGTCTCCTGCCATATCATGGTTTCAGGTAGAGCAGCTACTTCAGAAGTCTGGGGTCAAACATGTTCTATATGTCACAACTAGTTCTGAATGACTAGCCTGCTACTGGATTTTGAAGATTTTGTCAAGACACTGAGAATAGTACGGCTCCTGTGCTTTGAGGCGCCTGCTGCAAGTTATCCGAGTGTCCAAAGCATAAAGGAATTCCCAGTTCACTGCGACCTGTTAAACCATGACCTTCATCTCCAGTTTAAAACATGTTCCTGAAATACTCTCTTCCTCAGTCAACTGGTGGCTGAAGTGGTATGTTGACGACGAAGAAGAAACTGAAGTGCATCATTTGAGGCCTGCATAAGGCTCACTTCATAAATTATATTCTCATTATAACTGCATTACGGTTGTCCAATCCATCACCTTCGTACTAACAGTATGATTGCAGTCACAAAACTTTATTTGTTTGATGTTATTTTAGTTGTTTGCATTTATTTGCATATTTAAATAATTTATATCCAAAAATTAGCTGCAAAACAAAAAGCAAAAAGCAAGCACAATTCAGTTCTAAGTTTAAATGCTTCAATTTGCCAGAGATCCTTAGACAATACCTTCCAAATCCACAACCGCTTCCACCTCAAAGGATAAGAGAAAGGATGGGAACACCACCATCTGCAAGTTCTCCTTCATGCCACTCACCGTCCTGACTTGGAAGTATATAACTGTTCCTTCACGGTCACTGGGTCAAAATCCAGAATTTCCTTCCTAATGGCATTGTATGTCTACCTACAGCACATGGACTAGAGGGATTTGAGAAGGCAGCTCACAATCATCTTCACAAGGGCAACTAGGGACAGGCAATAAATAGTTGCTGGCCACGTCCCACGAGTGATTTAAAACAAAACAGCAGTTTTTATAATTATGAACTTCTACATGGCCTTATGCGGCAGTAAAAGTTTAACTAAAATGTACCTGGGAAGTTAACATTCTTCAACTGTGCATTCACAGTGCAATGCTTTGTATTCAGTTGAAGTGTGAATCAACAATGAAGGTCGAAAGTAACTCGGAAACAAACAGTCAAAACGTCTCCTTCAGGGAGTCTCATTCTATTTAATGGGGCACTAACACCAGATTTAGACAGCATTTACCGTACAATCTCTTGGCACTGAGTGTGGGTAAAATATGAATTGGTTAAGTGCAGGTTAATTAACTAAATCAGCAGGGATTTATGAAAACGGAACTCCTGAGGATTTAGTGTTAGGACCATTATTCTTCCTGATATACATTAATGCTCTAGATCGTGGTGTATAGGGCACAATTTCAAAATTTAAGAACAACACGATATTTGGAAGTATTGTGAACTGTGAGGAAGATAGTGCAATATTTCAAAAGGACATAAACAGGTTGCTGGAACGGGTGGACAAATTACAAGATAAAATTTAATACAGTGAAGCGTGAATGATCATTTTCGTAGGAAGAATGCAGGAGACTATACAAAACAGTTCCAAAGGTGATGCAGT